TGGTCACACTCATGGCAGAAGATGGGAATGGCTTCATTTCCTGAACTAGCAACAGTGAGAGTGTTGTGAAGGTCAGCAGCAGGAACTGCCCCCACCTCCCCCCACTGCAAAGCTCCAGAGCAACCACTGCCACACTGGCCATCTTGGACCAACATGATTTATATTCTCTCAAACCCACCATGTCTCTCTATTTATTCTTTAATTTCCTATCAAACAACATAAGCCAGAATTCTGTTCTTGTATGTTTCTGCAATTATCTTTAAACTACACACTGCTGTAAATGTGATCATTTCATTAATTTATGTAAATAGGACCTTAGCCAATGACTTGGGTGTTACTTATGAATGAATCATGCTGCTCTGAGTGGCTGGGTATATTTAACTCTCATTAATTTGTTCAAAATAGCTACTAATGGGTTTCTTTAGCTCATTACTCTTGTAACAAAAAGCCAAAGAGATGACTGGGTTTGCATGGAAGGGCTTGGGTAACCCTTTCTGTTACAAGTCAGCGACCAGCTTATAAGTACCCTGCGCTTCAAGTCACTTCAAGTGATTTCAAAGCAGTAGCAGGTTAACAGCTCAAGACAAAAAATGCAGGCTTCGGTTGGCATCAGCCCATGAACAGCATTGAACCATTTCTGGAAACCATTTGTTTTCACTTCCTTTTGAGTGAAAGGAACACTATTAAAATTGGAATTCTGGAAAAACTGAAGGCTCGGAGCCCAAATTGAGAGTAGAAATATAAATAGGTTCAAATCTAGCAATGTTTTTAGAGGGAGTAGCTAAATATAAGGGCTTCAAAAGAAACATGTCACTCACCATGGTATAGCTCCACTGATTTTATGATTCAGAAATACTTTCCATGAAAAAGGCTGCATACTTGGAAGATTTTATTGCATACTTTGAGGATTTTATATGTGCAAAGTGCTGCTGAAGTTTTTATAGTATGTCACACAATGTTTTGCAGAAAAACGTTATTTTTGACTACTATAATCTATTGCTGGCTGGGCTCAACATCATTATACAGCTGCTGTTAAAATAATCATCTTGGCTTTGGCACTGATGTTACATCATGCTTCTTTGTATCTCTGACTTCTCTTTGCTGTACCACGCAAACCTTTTGTTGCTTTTAATCTTAGGTCTGTAAAGGTCCACTTGAAGTTTCACACAGATGGTTCTTGTAGAAGCTGAGGATTTGACCTAATCTAGTTCTGCATAAAACACAAGGCTGTTTTAACTCCATGTATACAGTGGTACTTTAAGAGATGTTTATGGATCTCATGAAATCTGTTAACAGAGAGATGTAGCAATTCACAACAGTCCAAGGTCAACCTGTGGCTTTTGAGCTTCATGTAACAAAGTAGTAAGTATGGCTCTTATGCCAGGGCTGTATTGCAGATGTTAATTACTAAAGATTTTTAGCTGTAAAGGAAAATTGGGAACCATTAGGGATTGCTGAAACCGGGATTGCCTTGTGGGATGCAGCTGTGTGCTCAGCCCCATCCCATCACACAGTGGGGGAGTGGAATCCCCTCGAGTGCTATCAGTCTGCTGTGGCCAATGCAGCAATCCCACAGATTGCATTCCCTCAGGTCTCTGAGGTAGGTAGATCTTGGCAAGCTAGCCTTAAGTGTTAGCCAAACTGTGTGTTCCTTAAGAATGAGTTCTGTTCTCTGGACTATACAAATCTGACTGGCCCCTTGGATTCATGCAATTAAAGCACAGCAGTTTCTGTGGCCAGTGGCAGAGGCAGGAGTGTCACAGATGGCATCATGCCACCCTTCCTAACACATTTTGACCCCAATAGACCAGGTAGGCATTAACAGTAAGGCTGCTCCTTCAGAGGAGTCTGGTAGGATGCCCAAGTTCACACCATGGACCTAAAGCAAGAGGCCCACCAGGATGCCAGTTTGCATCCTCCATGGCCCATAGAATGCTCACACAAGCAGGATGGTATGCAGTCTCCTTCCAAACAAGATCACTTGTTCAGAAGACACTGTACACAAACCAGTCCTATAATGGAGACCCTGCGCAATCAGAGTGAGGTTGATCACATATCACACATATGCTCTTTATAAGCATTTGCATACCATTCCAGTTTGCAGAAATTTGAACGATACTTTAACCATCATTTATTTTCCCTTGAAGTGTCCGTGATTTCAGAAAGAGTTCAGTGAACACGATATTTGATTCTGGATATTGGTTAGGAAGAGAAGAGCAAATATCAAGACATTGACAAAATATCTTACTTTTTGGCACTTTTTAACTAATCAGAAGCTATTAAACAAAAAGTTTCCAGAAGTCTCCAAAACATTAAATCAACTTAATGTGACTAAGCACCCTTACTTTGATATTTATTTCAATTTCAAAATACTTCAATCATTTAGTTACCCGAAAAGTAACCCAGCTATAAAACCCTGCCATACTGGGTAACTGCTCTTTGCTGAAAATTACACCACACCTTATTAATCCCTTGCGGGGGCAGGGTGGGGGTAAAAAAATAAAAAGAAACCTCCTTTAACTAAAGCCTGGAATGACTCGCAGCCAAATAGATGACGCTTACACAAGTATGCGTAAGTACAGTACACTTCACGGTTCATTATGGTATTAGTCATACTTAAAAACCACGTATTTTAAACTGGCATTTAATATGTATGTCCACTATACATCTCCAGGATTAATTTTCTCAAACACAGATTTCCCTATTCAATTTGTAGCATCATGTTTTCTGCAGTCTCTTGACATTAATGTTAATCAAACAGCACTCTGTGCAAACTCCATACCTCCCAAATACAAGCTAGGCTTGTGAGTCAGCTCCACACACTGTAATACTATCGAAGCAAGACAAGTGTGGCACTTCAAAGGCTGTCACTTACAAGAAATCTGATGGTAAAACCACATAAAATATTTTTTCTAAATTCTAGATACGGTGAAAGCAATATGTAGTATCCCAGATTGATTTAGCTGTGTTTCAATATTGAACAGAGGTCAGAACTGTAGGGCATCAAGTATTTGTTGAATACAAATTCTTTTTTTCTCTACACTATTCAGACATATGACAGTTCAACAGTCATAGAAAGCAGCTTATGAACAACACTGAAATTTTATTAAAACATGTATAATTTGTACTGTAGCAGCTTACATGAATGCAACCTGCATTCCATATGCACTCCATATAAACATAATGAATTAGAAGATTCTTGCCCCCAAGTGATACAACCTATATATTTCAGCTTCTAGGATACATTCTCTAAGCTTTAAGCTGTTCTTTTTTTTCTGTTAATAAACCTTGTCTATTTTTCATTGCAAGATTTCAACTTTCAAATGTCTAAACTTACAGCTGAATGCTGAATACATTGTCCTTACCATTATGTTACAGCACGTTACTTTTAGATTTGTGGTATGACTAAGAGAACAATTTGTTTTTCCATTCTTATTCTCCAGTATATACTCAAAATTCCTCTCTGAACGTGCTAGGCACTAGTAATATCTGTGAAACGCAAACATGAAAGGTAAAGGAGCAACAACTATTCAGACTTTTAAAAGCACGACAATAGTTTCAGAGGTACTTTTTAAATATGTAATTCTGCCTACTGGCACGTTTTAGATAGCTAGTCGTGCTTTTAGCTTTTATACTTTTATAGACTACACATACCTTTTGTAAGTTTATGTATTTAGAAGCAATGCAAACTTACTTCCTTTTACAAGAAGTTTTCAAATTACTAAACCAGTAGAGCAGATCTTAAAGGTTTGCACAAGTTCCTACTCCTTGCTATTAGGAGAGACACCTGCTGCTTTTCTTTTTTACAATCTAGTTTATCTTTCATATGTAACTCTTAAAGACAGCAGTTCATTATTCAGTATATGTAATTACTCTGTCAGCTTCTTATTTATTCAAAACAATCTAATAATTTTTTTATACAGACAAATTTTACATGAACTGAACTGTACTCGACCAAGTAAGCTATGCAATAAAATAAAAGCTACACTTTACAGGTACCACAAAACAGAGGACTAACAGACCAGTTATTAAACACAGCACCAACTATAACCAGTTTATAGTACCATATGTAGCCACGTGCTGGGGGAGTCTTCTTTCTGCAAGCTGGATCATATAAAAAAGTCAAGAAATTTTCAGATAGTTTCTACATTAGACAATCCTTTTCTGTTTCAGTTGGCAATACTTTTCTGATAGTAGCACTAACACATCAGGATTTTTCCACAGGTGACTGTTTCTGTTGTGTGATCTCACAGAAGAATCCTCAGTCAAGTAAAGTTATGTACTCCAGGAAGGAGCACACAGCCCCAGCACCATCCTGCTGCAATATAAAGAGGCTGTACTTGGGCCTAGCAGTGAAACCTAGTACATACTCTACATTAATGATAATAAGTATCACTACACTGGAAAGGGGTATGTTGTCTAACACATTTCATAAGAATAAGGGAATTCATTATAGCAAAAACCAAAATATGCCATAGAAGCTCAAATTCCATACAACTAACCAGTATTAATTTTCAAGCCAGAGGTTCCTGTGGAAACCTCACATGGTGGGATTTAAACTGTACTTACAGGAACTCACATGACATTTTTTTTCCCCTCTGTTGCTGGCTTCCATGCTCCCTTTTGAACATACTACACTAAAAAAACTTAACAAAATTTTTCATAGTCCCTTTCCCTTTTTAGCTCTGCAAGTGTGTTTGGCATAATTTCTCCTTCAGTTAGGGATTGATTTTAGGGGTCACGTTTTTCTCTTTGAAACCAAATAGCAGAGGAGAAACATTAGGGGGAAATAGGAGCATGGTCTACAGCTTTTTCTCAGGGGTTCTGAGTCTGTGACCCTAAAAAAAATACTGGAAAGGGACAAGAGAACATGGGTTCTTCTTTCCTGGTATCTTCTTCCTACTTTCCAGAGGCAGTGGCTTATCCAGTAAAAGTGAGCAATAGAGAAAGCAAAATATAACTGAAACATAGACTACAATGTCTAATTATTCTCTTTCCAGGTGCTTTTCTTATTCCCTATATCCTCTTCTTAATCATTGCTGGAATGCCCCTGTTCTATATGGAATTAGCACTGGGACAGTATAACCGAGAAGGGGCTGCCACTGTGTGGAAAATCTGTCCCGTTTTCAAAGGTAAGTGTCCCTCTGCTCTCTTGAATAGCGCCATGAGGGTGCGACACTCGTGATCAGAAAGTAAACGTCTCATCTTTCCACAGACAGCATGATATTTGCTGACCTTTCCCCAACCCTTGAAGTCAGAAGTCTTTTCTTTATCACAGGTGGAACACAAAACGGGAAAAGCCACAGAAATCATCTTCAGGGTGATTGCTGAGGAGTACAACAGAGAGCAATGAGCAGGAGCAGTTCAGCCCTGTCCTCCCTTTCCCCTGCCTATTGGGGAGTGGGAGGAACTGGGTATCTAGGTGGAGGGAGGGATTGGCAATGCAAACATTTGGAAATACCACATCCCATCCAGGTCAGTTCAGCCCTGTCTCCCTCAGTGACTAAGATAACCCCTGCCTCCGTTCAGTTCCCTGTGCAGAGCTCTCTGCAGAAGTCAGCATACCGCAGTGGCTAGAACACTAAATGAAGTTGTGAAGACTGTAGTTCGGTCACCACACTTGTAACATCACACAAGTTATCGGTGCCTCTGTACCTCAGTTTTCCTGCCTAGGAAATAGGAGCAATGATTCTAACAGACTTTGTAAAGTGGTTTTCAAATCTAGCAATGAAAAGCACTTACTAAAACCTGAACATTATTATTACTATGGAGTGGTCTGCACTAAGGTTAACTCTCCAGTGTCACTGAATAAAAGGCTGTGGAGTGTTTTCTGCACTGAGTTGCAATCATTCTGCAAGGAAGAAATACCCGAGGTTAGGTGTTTGGATACTGATTGGGGTGTTTGGCATTGGTCTGGGACAAAGGGATCTCCCTGGGTGTCATATGCTTTCTGTACATGAAACAAGTATTTGTCCAAGCAGCTTCAAGAATTTTCTTAAGCATTGCTTACCAACAAAAATCTATACCAGATTTTATCTAAAATCTTATAAAGCCTTTTCAACACAGAGCTATCTGAAATGAAACCAGTCAAGCTCAGCTGATCTTAGAAGCTTAAAATTCAGATCATGTTCATCCCATGACTGACAAAAGCTGAGGAGCTTAACAATAGCAATCCAAACCTGGCGGATCCTGTGCTTGGATATAGGTTACACTGAGTAAATGTTAGTCTTCTTTCTCAAAATACAGCTTTACTTTTCAAGGAGTCTAGTGCTGCAGAATAGGAAAACTGCAGGGTTTTTATTGGTCAAACCCAAAACTCAAAGCAAAATTAGAGATCTAATAAAAATCAAATAAGCAAACTAATAAGGGCTCCAAAATTTTTAAATTAATTCAGATAGATTTTCCTATCACTTCTATAACCCCTTCAAGGGACACAGAATTCATCCCAGCACCCAGGAACCTGAAGACCCTTGCTCAGTCAGAATTCCTGCTGGTATCAGTTAATACCTTTGGATGGCAGCAAGGATTGTGAAAACCTAACTGCAAAAATTAGACCTTAAGGATCTCAAAGTGTTTGAGTCAAATACCACTGTGCTCAGAGGTACTCTATCTGTTGACTTCAGGATTGAAAAGATGATGAGAAAGGAAAATAGAACTTATTTCATGTATAGTCCTGTTGACATTCCAGCTGTGTCTTTAAACTGACATTTTCAAGGTGGACTAAACATACATTTTTGTTGATTTTTAAGTGTTCTTATTACTAGGATATAGAATAGCATAAGTAATTTGATTCTCAAAAAGTAATAAGCATAGAGTTGTATTTGCACCTCAGCACTAGTATAAAATCAGGTACTTCTGAAGTTTTGACCAAATCTTCTGATAACATACAAACACATTTTACTGCTAATGTTTTTAAGTTGTTTCCGGGATAACTCATTTATTACAGCTTCTCTAAATGAACAGCACTATAGTCCTAATTTTAGCTATTAATATTATTGCTTATGAACTCTTAAGAACTCTAACGAGAATCTTTCATAATGCATACATTTAAAAATATACCCTGTAACCTTTGCAACACAGTCTGTTTTCATCTCTGCATTTTCCAGGGTCTATTTTAGAAGGTGGGTGGTGCAGCATTACTTTTAAGAAATGCTAGACCTAGAAACAGAAGAGCAAATTCATTCCTGAAGAATCTTATTATTTCAGAGGTTTGACATTTAAGATACATTCAATGCAGTATTTTTAATTCTTGATACTAAATATCTATCATTGTCCTCCTGAATTAGAGAAATTTCAGAAACACTTTTTTTAAACAGAAATCATCCAATTTCTGTGCAATATATATTATTTGTACTTAGTATTTTAACATTCACATGAATATTTAAGAATTATCCCCTTGGGTGACTTTCTCCTCTCTATTCAAAGTATCGCTAGAATTTGAGTGTTAATATACTGAATTCATTTAAGCACCAAAAATTTGAAGATACAGTTTCATCTTTACTCTCACATTCTTTTCCCCAGTGTTAGGGAATGAGCAAACTGGTCTATGTATTAAAAGCCTCCTGAAGAGCAAAGTGTAATTTTGGTATATGCAGCAGTCTTTGAACTGCCAAGTCCTTCAGGGTCAGCATCTGTTCCTTATGCAAATTTTAAACCAAGGATTAATACTCAAAGTGTGTGCTATTTCCTTGCTTTATCAAGAAATATGAAAGCCTTGCTTTATCCAGAAATATGAAACTCAAAAGAAACTAAACTGAAAGAAATTAGAAGTAAAAAGTCTACACTTTGGTGCTGTGGCAGTACAGTGATGATAGTCATAAAACAGCTGTCATCTGTGCCTGTTACATGTAATATGTACAGCTCTGGAGTAGGGTTCAGGGAACAATGCTGCGCACAGAGTAAAGGAAGAATAGTATAAGCCAAGGTGAAGCAAGTTTCTTGCACAGTTCTGGCAACAAACTTTTGTTCTGCTCTAACATTAGTACCAAAGCTTCCTCCCAAACCATTGAAAAATGTCCATTTTCATGTGAACATGCACTCTCTCAGGCTTGCTTGCTAAAGGGTCCCTCCAAGAACACTTCACAGAGTACACAAAAATACAAACCAAATGTTCAAAGTCAAAAGAGAATGCTTTTGGGGATTCTGTAATCCTGGGGACATAATAAAATGGTTTGAAGGTCCACACACAGTTTAGCCCCAAGCTTGATATTCACCAAGATTTACTGGCCTGCCCAAGAACGCCTCAGTGGAACAGCACAGACTGTTTCATGCATGTTTTGGACCTCATTACATGCTGACAGAAGCCAATCTGGAAAATAACAATGGGAAAGAAACAGGAGAGGGTTTGTTGTTTGTTCCAAACTAGCTCAGGGTGGGAATGTGAGGCATAGGAAAACTTCACTTAAGTCTTGAGCTTTACTTTTCCAAGAAAAGTTGGCAAGGAATCTGACATTATGAAGATGAAGTGAGTTTCACTCCTAACATGGGCTTGCAATATTCTACATTGGAAGGCTGTACAAGAGCAAGCTTTGACATTGCAGTGCTTAATTTCTTTCTCTGGCAAACAACTGGATTTGCTAAAAGCCAATCGTTTTCTAAAATCATTAATATAATTTTTTGTTTTAAGGTTAGTGACACTATGTCTGGATGTGTATATGTAAATGTCAAAAATTCCTTTTATTGGTCTGAAGATCTAAATGAATTTGCAACTGTGTATGGCTGAGTTTAACTAGTGTTTGCAAATACTGTTGCATGTAAAACGCAATGTATAATCTAGTTTTCCTTTGTCTTTAGGTGTAGGCTATGCAGTGATACTCATAGCTCTTTACGTGGGTTTCTACTACAACGTTATCATAGCTTGGTCTCTGTATTATCTATTTTCATCATTCACATTTGAGCTCCCTTGGACAAACTGCGACAACAGTTGGAACAGTCCAAACTGTACAGATCCCAAACTCTTCAATGCATCAGTGCTTGGCAATGGAACCAAATACTCGAAGTACAAACTCACTCCTGCAGCTGAATTTTATGAGTAAGTGTTGACTTGATTTTGCTATTTATTCAGAATTCTATGTCTAAGAGTGTTTCCTCTGGAAGGTAAAATAGCTTTAGCATCCAGCCTCTAGAATAAGCATCAGAAGACTGAAATTAAAATGCAGTTGTAACATTTATCTGTATTCCTGTGTGATTAAGACTCTTGCCTCTCTGAGCTCTGGTTTCTCCTGTACAAATGCAATACTTGCCACTAAGCAAAATGGAATTGGATAAAAGACACAAATCTTCCCCGATGTACCACTTTTGCTTGCACCAACTTTGCCAGGGAATGGAAACACAGCAATATTCTGACAAAGATGACTGCATGCCAAACTGAGCTGACTTTAAGGCTTTAAAATAATGATTTGTTCACCAGGCTTGGCCTGTTTCTCTACTTGCAAAATATCTCAGAGCAGACCTCTGTTTGCTCAGCTGCTTCAGTAGTTCAATGAAATGAGATGAAGCACTGAGCAGGAGGAGAGCACCACAGTTGTAGAAAGACGGGCTTTTTCTAATTCCTAAGCAAAAGAGCATTCTGTAATATGGGCCAAAACAGGCAAAGGCAAACTCAAATCAAACACTTGGAATCAAAACCAAAAAGGTATATAAATTCACAACTGAACTATAAAACAAATATATCAATCTCTGTATAAATAATTGCATTATGGACCTCCAGGGGAAAATGGGATTTGATTAGGATAAAGAAAGGAGGATAGGCATCAAGGCTAATTGTATCAGCCATTGAATTAATCTGAATAATCAATATTTCTGTGTTGAGAATAGAAGGCTATCAGGACACACACCTGCTGAGCAGCGAGTCCAACCCTGTAGAAACAGAGGGACACCACTGTTACCATAAATAACCTAGTGTCTGTTAGACCATGCCTGGCTACAGTAGGGATCTTGAGGTCTGTGTTTATAGCTCTGAAACATTTGTGGCTGCTATTTCTCCTCTGAAGACAGCACAGTGAAAAATCAGTAGTGATACACAAACTGTTGGCAGGGGTTTGGGTAAACTAAACTCAGTGCTTTGAAAACAGTAAGGGGAGGGCTGAGTTCAAAGGAACTCACTACAATGGCAAATAATGACAGGTAGGAAATCTCCTGCCCTTACAAAGACAATATATGATGTATTCATAACTTAAATGTAAAGACAGATCTTTTATAGCAAAAAGCTACATAAGCATGTAGTCAAAGAACCTGACTTTGAAGAGAACTATAAAAAAAATATACATTCAGCATCTTCAAACAAAGAACCACTTTATTACAGAACTTCTATTTGAACAGCATTGAAAAAAAGGTTTTCTTTATAATTTTCTTCTGCTTAAGCCTTTGTAAAGCAAAATGCAATCCCTATATTCTTGCTTTTCTCCTTTATGATATTATAAAGTAGTTCTGTGAATTTTCTATTATCACATCATGCTTGGGGTATGATTTTGACTTTGTAGTGGGTGAGGTTGTGAGGTTGTGGTAGAATCTATTCACAATGTTTTGATTTATTTCCACTGATCTGGGGAACAGATCATTTACGATTCTATCTGTACACTGAAACTTGAAATCTTAGGGTTCTTTCCTCACCATGAAATACATTCAAAGTGCAGTTTTCATAAGATAAGAACACAAAGGGAATTTGACATTTCATTACATTTTGATCCCTGAATTTTGAGGCTGTAATTAAGTCCCTAGGCCCTATACTTATTAGCAACTAGATTATATTGCAAAAATGAGAAGAATAACTACTACAGTAACACAGTCTGTTAACATCTGCTTTCTCAGCTGTAAAAACAGGGAATCACAAGGGGCATTTTGTTCACTTATCCAGTATTTGGATTAGCTCATCAAGTCCAGCTGTACAGCTCAGGTGTGGACCCAAACTTGTGCAAAGTTTTAGTGTATTCAGATCCAACCGAATAAAGACAGTCCATTTCAGAAAACAGTGATTCTTCTCTTATATCGAATAACCTAACTCGTTCCCATGGTATTTTTACAACAGGGACAGATGAATCTTCTCATTATAAAGTTTCGTATTATGCACAACAGAGTCAGGAAATAGAAGTGATGATGTAATATTAAATTTGCATCAGTATGGTGGGTTTACAAAATGATGCACCATTTTTGGATGCAGTATGTTAAGTAATAGTTCAAGTAAGGGTCTTGACTGGCTACATTCCCTCCGAAAAACCATTCAAGTAAAGGCTGAATATTACTTTAAGAATATTGGGTGTCCTTATATCATATTGGTATAAGCACTCCAACAAAGTGCTTTATTACAGAACTTTCATGCTCTGTTTCATAGACCGCTGAACTTGACCCAAGTGTTTATGTAGGAATCACACCTGATTCTTCCAGGTAGATAGTCATTAGTCACTTCTTAATCAACAAATATTTGCCAGAGGAAAATACAGTTCCTGATGGAGAAGTTTATGTCAGGTCAGTCTGTTCCTTACAGCCAGAAATCCTAAATTATTGGCTGGATAGCTAATTGATCCTTCCTCAGTAATACTGTGGATGAGTAAGAGTTTTTAAGTAACAGCATCATGAAGACACTGGTTTCCATATTCTATGATCATGTTTACATTCTTAAGGTTTGTACTGCTATCCAGTGGTGCAAGATACTAGTAATAACAGAAACAATTACTTTTTGGGAAACAGATGGCAGATTTCAGATTTTGAGTTTTGATCAGTTATATAGAGAAACAAGGAAACAGAGCAGCTACTTTTATAGCAGAAGAAAATCAAACTATGCCACTCAAACTTCAGTGGGATACCTATGGAAGCCCAGCCTCTGCATTAACATGACATGGTATGATAATTAACATTATTAAAACAGGGACTGAAAACAGCGCTAGCACTGGTGCCCACTGTAAAAATATCATAGAAACAGAGCAATTTTGTCAGTGGAAGTAAAAATAATTTCCATTATTCTTCTCAGTACTACCAAGAGATATGGGCAACCATCCAGTCTGGAGTATTTGGGGCCATGTTTTCAACCACAGTAACTAGTGCAACAAGAACTTGTTGCTCTGTGTTACTGGGATGCACTGCAGCTTACTGAAAACTTGTTAAGGATGATAAATGTGCCCAAGCACTTAAGTCTTCAGCCTCGAGACTACATGGGAAGTGGGTACAGCTTGAACTTGGTTCTCCAGGTTGTATATTTACATCAAGAACATATACAGACTTTTGCCTTCTAGTTTGCAGGCTGAACTGGAAGCAGACAGGCCAAAACCATCAAACATCTATTTTGTAGATGGAGAATGACTGAAAAGAAGTACTTCCAAAACAGGCCACAAGCAGAAAGCTGATGTGGTTGGTTACCCTTAAGAGAAACAGACATTTATCTTTGGGACATGATTCCTTCACACAAAGCTGGCCTGACCCTGAATTTAGAACAGATTATTTCCTAAAGCCATGCAGCTGCCAGAGCTGACTATTTCCACCAGCACAGGAATAAACTGTAGGAAGAGGTGGGATTACTGTTATGTGATAATTCATCTAATACTTCAAGAAAGGCACTTATACGTTCAACAGAAAAATGCTGATTCTCACCACTTACATTGAGTGAGAGAAAGGAAAACTTGCTAAGAATCTGGGCCAAATCTTTCAGCTGTCTGGTACTTGGTGGGGAGGGAAAGTAGGGAGAAACCTCTAAGCCTCAAGACTTGGAAGAAATCACTGCAGATTGCAATTTCCATGCCAAGGCAGTGACAGGCAGTCTTTGACAAACATATCTGGCTTTTGTTTTCAAGCCTTAAGAGTTAGACAATAATTCAGATTGAAGTGGTTCTACACTTAGGCTTTCTGGAGTGCTTCTGGATGGCCGGGCCCAAAGAGTTGTGGTGAACGGAGTTAAATCCAGTTGGCGACCGGTCACGAGTGGTGTCCCCCAGGGCTCGGTTTTGGGGCCACTCCTGTTTAACATCTTTATTGATGATCTGGACGAGGGGATCGAGTGCACCCTCAGTCAGTTTGCAGGTGACACCAAGTTGGGCGGGAGTGTTGGTCTGCTCGAGGGTGGGGAGGCTCTGCAGAGAGACCTGGACAGGCTGGAGCCATGGGCTGAGGCCAACTGGGGGAGTTTCACTGAGGCCAAATGCCGGGGGCTGCCCTTGGGCCACAACAACCCCCAGCAGCGCTACAGGCTTGGGGAGGAGTGGCTGGGGAGCTGCCAGTCAGAGAGGGACCTGGGGGGGTGATTGACAGCTGGCTGAATATGAGCCAGCAGTGTGCCCAGGGGGCCAAGAAGGCCAATGGCATCCTGGCTGGTGTCAGCAATAGCGTGGCCAGCAGGGACAGGGAAGGGATCTGACCCCTGTACTCGGCACTGGTGAGGCCGCCCCTCGATTATCGGGTTCAGTTTTGGGCCCCTCACTACAAAAAAGACATTGAATGACTCGAGCATGTCCAGAGAAGGGCAACGGAGCTCGTGGAGGGTCTGGAACACAGGTCGTATGGGGAGCAGCTGAGGGAACTGGGTCTGGTTAGCCTGGAGGAGGCTGAGGGGAGACCTCATCACCCTCTACAGCTACCTGAAAGGAGGTTACAGAGAACTGGGGATGAGTCTCTTTGACCAAGTAATAAGCAATAGGACAAGAGGGAATGGCCTCAAATTGTATCACGGAAGGTTTATACTGGATATTAGGAAGCATTTCTTTACAGAACGGGTTGTTGGGTGTTGGAATGGGCTGCCCAGGGAGGTGGTGGAGTCCCCATCCCTGCAGGTGTTTAAGAGTAAGGTTTCACGTATTTTCAAACTGTCAGTGCTGAGTTAATGGTTGGACTGGATGATCTTCAAGGTCTTTTCCGACCTAGACGATTCAGTGATTCTGTGATTTTATTAAGTGTGGTTTCAGTTGTTCAGGCTTAATTCAGGCCTAGGTGCCACTGATGTCAGTGGGACAGTTGCTTACAACAGGAAGAAATGAGACTTCTACAATACTTCATTAGAGATGGTTAAAATCAATTATAAAGTATTTATACACTGCAAACTTAGAAAAG